TGAAGAAAAAGATTTGCCATCTATCTATGTTAGTTGCCATCTTGTTATGCTGGTAGCTGCCACCAGCTCAGCATCATGGTTGCCATGCAGATTGTATAAAAAAGATTGAATGTATGAAATGAACACTTTATGTGTTGTTGAAACATGCTATTGCCTTGTAGGCAAGCAACTACAGTTGTCATGGATTAAACAAAAGTCAGTTTCACATGTAAAAGGATTCACACACAAAAAATGAAACAAAGGGTTGCCATGCACGATCTTGTACGGTTGCCATGCACGATCTTGTACGGTTCACACTTATCAACAACTGTGATGTTGATTTAGTAAAATCATTGAACCGTGATAAGAGTATTTGCAAAAGAGTGGGGGAAAATACCATTAGGTGCAAGCAACAACCCTTCTGGTACATCTTGTTTGAGAATGCATCATGTAGGAAGTCAGCAATGAATTTACACCAATTCATTTTCTCCACGTCCTTCAGCTTCACATGCACAACACAAATTTCAGGACAAAAAGTTGCTGCATTAGCATCCAAATGAAAGCATCAGAAAACTGGCAGTGACTATCTTCCAGATGACATCAAAATCAAAAAAATTGAAGGGAAAAAAGAAGTAGAGAGAGAGCATTCACCAAGATGGGAAGCACTTGTTGCTTGGGCGAAGAGATGTGGTAGGTGCAAAGACAGCTGAGATCAAGTACATGAGCAACTTCATCTTAAATACCTCGCCATGGGTTTTCATGCCCTCCAGCGAAGTTGCCAGCACAGTCGTATTCGGCCTGGTTGACATCCCAGGAAACAAACGGGTGAACAAGGCTTCCTCAATCTTATTATTCACCTCATACGGGACTTTGATTTCTCCACGGGGCACACCCAAAGTGCAGAACACAGATTCCTCATCCAAAGGCAGCCTACCCCGTCCCGGAATCACGAATTCTTTGGAGGCAGGATCATAAATCTCACCAAGCCAGTCATATACATGGTTCACTAGGTTCTTGCAGCGAGCATCCAGCCTGCATCCCCATCTCACCGGCAGCTCCCTTCTGCTCATCAGTAAATCTATCGTTCAAAATGGTCAGATGTGCTTGCGAAGCCCTATTGCGATGACGTTTCCTCTTCTGCATAACAGAAAAAGGATCATTTGTTGCCATGTTCAATGTCATGAAAAATTTAGTTCTAACTGAAGATTGAAAACTCAATGTGACATTAAAACATATGGGGGTGGAAAGTGACCTCTTTGCCATCTTTTGCCCGACCAGTCGCGCGATTCTGTTGCGGTGCATCCATGAAGTCATCATCATCATCTTGATGGTCGCCACGAACCATTGTACTACGATAAGAACAAAACACACGTTAGGGTGAAACGAAATCACAGCCGACGGATACGGAAAGAAATGCATAAAGTAACTTCACTCGATATCTTTGATGAACAAAAAATGAAAACTCAAATGGTTGGCCCAAGGTTTAAGCATTTTGAAGAGGGCAGTAATTGCCATGTGATGAACATGCACAAAAAGGCAGAAAAATAATCAAAATGGAAAAGTAATTGCAAAAACATAGCAACTGGACGTGTATGTGCTTCTGAAGGAAGCAGTTGTCAGCTAGCAGAATCTTCTTGCCATATTGGCTCATTTGAGAGTGGCAAAAGAGGCAGATCATAGGAACACCCACCCCCTAGGACTGTCCAACATGAAATTTGGCAACTAAACACATTGGCTTCATAAAAAAATGTGCAGATAGTAAGACACTTTAAAAATGTTCAAGTTGCCATGTTAAACACAAGTAACTCCAAAAAAGGGCGGACAACTTCCACTGCACAACATGTAATAAGGCAACTCACACCCTGGCCTCACATAAAAATGAGTTGCCATGTATTCACAAAGAGCAAATGTATTAGGTTCAAAGTTGTCATGTCAAACACAAGGCAATTGAAAAAAGGCAGACAACTTCCACTACACAACATGTAATATGGCAAGTCACACCCTGGCCTCACATAAAAATGAGTTGCCATGTATTCACAAGGAGCAAATGTATTAGGTTCAAAGTTGCCGTGTCAAACACAAGGCACTTGAAAAAAAAGGCAGACAACTTCCACTACACAACATGTACTGTGGCAACTCACACCCTGGCCTCACATAAAAATGAGTTGCCATGTAATGCAGTCAAAAAATGTTCAGGTATCACAAGCCAACATGGCAAACGCAAAATGAGTCTATTGTACAGTGAATGTGCCATTGTCCTGGATATGGCAAGGCAATAGACATAGTGTGTTCACAAAAAATAGTTACCACATGGAAAGCATATTCGTGGAAAAACTGACACGATTGATCAGGAAATTAGTCGCCATCAGTGATGATAGTGGCATGGCAACAGCCATAGTGTGTTCACAAAATTAGTTGCCACATGTAAAGCATACTGACACAGTTGATCAGGAAATTAGTCGCCATCAGTGATGACAGTGGCATGGTAACAACATAGTGTGTTCACAAAATTAGTTGCCAGATGAAAAGCATATTCGTGGCAATTGACACGGTTGATCAGGAAATTAGTTGCCATCAGTGATGATAGTTGTTGAAAATGCCATGTCTGCCGTTATCATACACTTTGAAATGCAACTACCTAGATCTAGGGTTCATTCGCAACTATCATACCTTGAAATTTAACAAACAAAAAACTCCCTACACTGATGTCCACAGCATTTCGAGGCAAATCATAACTAACATCTAGAAAAATCGCACGCTCAATCGCAAGGCAAAAAACAGATTTGGCTGCGGACGGGGATGGGGACGGATTTGCCCCACAACGGCATGACTGCCACCGCGGCGGCGACGAAACTGCTCAATGCCACCCTAAATGGCAAGCACGCGACTCCACCACCTATGGGGACGCCGGAGCACCGCGAATCGGCC